TAGAAATTTAGAAAAGTAATCAAAAAGTAATCAGTTACATTACTTTAATAAAGTAATTGAAAAAGTTACACTACTATTACATTTTAAATAGGGTAACTTGTAATCTGTAACCTATTACATTTCCAAAGTAACCTTCCCAACACTGGTGAATCTGCTATTCAGTATTTTTAACAATGAACTAAAAGTGTTCAAAGAGAATTCTTTTTTAGAATATTGCATGCTAATTTTCTATGTAGTTACATTCCAAATGTTCTCAAATAACTTTGATCTAATTCAGTGATGACTGTGGGGATTTGTGTGTAGAGGCCCTGACCACCTTGCGTTACCCGAAGAGTTTTTGTTTTATAAAGACCTCAGTGTTGAACTTGAATTTGAAACAAAGACAGGATGCATACCAGACTTTGACAAAATCTTCCTCTTATGTACAAAAAATGTCGGTGAATATCGTCACACCTCCATATCATGAAACTCACAATGTACATAACTAACATAACTACAAATCACATTGTACGAGAACCCACATCATGTTGTGTGCAGATCCTAGGAAGTAAAGGACAAGGTCACCCAAAGTTAATTTGTTACCTCTCATCGAGGGAATGCAAAATTAGTTATCAACAACAGAATGACCAAGCTGCCCTTTTTCATATAATGAAAGTCAATGTTGGCCACCGCTGTCAAGCAACAACTAATGAAAAACCTTTTGAAAAAAAATGAAAAACTCCAGAAACCTGGAAGAAGAGTTTTTGGACTACTTTTATGATGCTATTTTGTCAGCTTTAGTCATCTACTGTCATTGTATAGAAAAGTGCATTTTGCTAAATTTGTCCTTTAGTGTTATGCATCACATGGCTGTATTTACTTTGGGGTGAGCTGTACCTTTACACATGGGCGTAAATTTCATCTAATGGAGGACAATAAACAAAATGTATCACTGTGTTTGTTGTAGTGGGTGACTTTGACTTTGAGACTTTATTTCGAACGTAAAATAAATACAATAAAAACTAATAAACAAAACAAAAAACTATACAACACAATACAAAACAATTTGAACTTATACATGTCCGAAAAGGAGTAGGAAGAAGCATATTTTTATCCTACCCCTTCTCCACTCTGCATCGATAATAATAATCAATAATAACAATCGTCAAATTAACTTCATGATTCTATCATCTCAATCTTGTCTTAATACATTCTTTACACTTTTCTACATATGACTTACTATTAAACAAGCTACCAAACAAGCTAGGTAACATTATAAATGCTAAATACATCGGTTATCATTTTTTTTGTCATGACTAATTGATTAATGACTCAGCATCATCCGTATTAAAGAGAAAATATTCACTTCATCTGATGTTTAAAGTGAATAAAATAGCCTTGACAGCCTACTTACTGGAGTTCCACAGCTACTGAAGGACTTTTTTCTCCCACCGGACTGTGTGTGTATAGGCTTCTAAACTTAAAACGCATTTATTTATTTACTTATTTTTTCCTGTCCTGTTTACATTTGTATTATTTTCCTACTTACACATATTAAGTATATATCGTTATATTATTACACAGCGTGGTTTTAATTATATTTTTAAGGGGGGACAACCCTCAGAAAATCAACCCGATTTCCGCCTATACCTTCACAGGGTCACATCATAGGGTAACTTTTTTTTATATATATATAATTGAAACCATCATTTTAGAATTCATTTATTTACTTAAAGTCCACTCATAATGTTTGTGATATATTATTCAAATACATATCTGATGGCCATTTTTTTGTTTCTGACTTTTACAATAAATAGGTCTTTTTGCTGCTGCACCTTTATGAACTCCTTTATCTCAGGATATAACTCATGATATTGCATTTTCAGTGTTTACAGGTTAACAAGACTAAGACAAAGTCTATGGCAGTGTCAGTTAGCATATGTTGGCTTGCAATCCATGAACTAGAGAGTTGCTCGCCACTATTAACATCTTTCTGACAGATTTTCATTTATAATATTAAACTTATCTGGTGTCCTACTACTGCCCTCATTTTCCTTCTCCTGTTTTTTTTATTTATTAGGAGTCAATGCATCTGTGAGGACCTCAACTATTTCTGAAGGTAATTTCTTTGCTAGTAGTAATTCATAGAGACAATATTCTCTAACATCTTTCTTTATCAAAATTCTCTATCAATCATAAAATCAATTACATGGAATTTGAACCTGAATTTATTTGACTCTGTAGTGACTAACTGAAATTCAAGACCAGTAGAAACAGTAACACAGAATAAAGCCATGATTGCAAGCTTCCTAGGTTTCTGTCACTGCCTCGCAAGATGTAATAGGCTAATCCATCTTAAACAAATCAAAACTCTTATAATATTTGTATGCATATCTTTCATAGAATTTTATGGGGCTGTCAAGCTCCCAAAATGCTGAAAACCACCATAAAAGCAGCACTTTAAGTAGTACATATTCATGCACTGTAAGTCTCCCAAAGCCATATGAAAGCTTTTTCATGAGAGGCAGATGGAAATTCAAGTTATTCATTGAAAATCTTTCCCTCTGCTATAGCTATTTACACATGCACTTATTAAAACATGACAAAACATGATGGTTCTTGTATGTTCTTACATGTATACTACACTTTAGAGCAGTGGTCTCAAACTTAATTCCTGGAAGGCCACAGCTCTGCAGAGTTTAGCTCCAACCAGCTCCAAAGCTGTGGCCTTCCAGGAATTGAGTTTGAGACTAATGCTTTAGAGCTAAGATTTTGTAGAGTTATATGGAGGAGGAAAGATGTTCAGTGAATAACATCTTTCTGTGTGTTCCTCACACAAAGCTTCTCAGTGGCTACAGAAGACTTTGTTTTTGGAGCTCTAAAGCCTGGTCACTGTTTAAAAATACACTCTTTTAGGTTTGGAACAACATGAATGTGAAAAGTGATGACAGATTTTTCATTTTTGAACAAACTAACCTAATTAAAATCTCTTTCATTTAGGAAGAAATGCAGTGGCAGCCATTTCTAATGGTTATACATGTGAGTGCCATTTATTGCTGTTCATTTCTTGAAAAAAAAAAAAGTTTTTCTCCACTCTGTGCTCATTAATGTTTTTTTAACAAGTTCCTTTGTTTCTTTATTCAACATTTAGCAACAGTAGGTGGAGTTACAGGCATAATTCTCCTTTGCCTGGTGGCAGCAGTATTAATTTTCTTGTGGTATGTTTTAAATCTACTGTGGTTTGAAGTTTAGACTCTTTGTAGCCTCTTTTTTAATTGTTTTCACCTTCTAACCCACAGGTTAAGACGTAGAAATCATAGAAACCAGATTGTATATCACCCCAAACCAGATCCCTGCACTTCCTACATACCTTTACCAGTCTGTGCATCTGAACACAGTTCGGCTCAATCAAACAAAGCAGCTGAAAACTCCACAGAAGCCTCTGTCACTGACAAAAATCCAGGTGCGGACACTTGTGATGAGCTCCTCCCACAAACAGACTCCTGATAAGCCTTGTTCAGACTGTCAGTCCAAATCTAATTTTTGTGCATATCTGATTGGAATCTGATCATATTTAGCAAGTGTGAACAGGAAAAAGAAATCACATGAAATACCATTTTTGCAAATCTGTTTCAAGATACTTTAATTTGTGGCCTATTCAGATCACATTTCTGGAAATCTGATTCAAGACTCTTGATTGGATTTTGCCACGTTCTCATGCCATGTTTAATGTAAATACATCAGATATTGTTTGTAGAAAACACGCCAAATGTCTTTGCAAAAACAAGGTTGTGTTGTTTTGAAGTGCAAGTCGAGCAGAAATGTACTGCTCAATATACTGCTAGACTGCACACCTCTTTTAATTGAGACTGGTGGAGACAGTAACATGGAATAAAGCCACTGCCTCATAGGAGATGTAATAATCCAGTAATAATACATAATAATCCAGAACAGATAATATAGCTAATCCAGTAATAATACTGTAGGTAATAATCCAGAGCAATGGCAACAATGTCATGTTGTCTTACAACACAAAAGAGCATCACGGGACACACAAATCGAATCTGAACAGTTGGGATACACAGTGTGGACAGTCATTTAGATCAGAATCCAGTCAGATACACAAATACTTCACACTCCATGAAATACACCACCCTAAATGCACATATTTGATCAACATCCATCTACATGTACCTCATCTCACTTTCCAGTCTTTTAATGTTATCATAAAATTAATAAAGTTTTTATATTGTTTTTAATACATTGTCTTTTTATGTGTATTGTTCAATGACAAAACACACAAGGAACTTTTAGACCAGTGGTTCTCAGTGGTTTTTCTCAAGTAGTCAAGGTTTAGATGGCTAGTGTTAGCCCCTTCTGGTTGATGCTATTAACTACACTTCGTGGCTGCAAAAAGCATCTCTCTACACTGGTCATTCAATGGAAATAAGTTGTACGCAAACACACTTGTGACTGTACATTTTGTAATCAGTATTAAATTATTGTGCTTAATGATCAGGGTTTGGAAACAGACATTTTGATACCCTAGGCAAGATATCTTTTGTCAACCATCCATAACCCTAACCCTAACCCTAACAGTTCAACTTGAATTAAGCTTCTTATTTGGAAGCTTCTTGTTCAGATGATTTGTTCCACTTAAATATCAAATGCATCATGATTGCGCTTTATAATTTCAGGGGCTTTATCACATGCAGTAAGCGTCAAAAATAGATTGTGGTATGGCAAGTAATGTAATAGACAATCAAATAGTTTCACTTCAGCATTTTCATAGATATATGTGACCCTGGACCACAAAACCAGTCTTAAGTCATTAGGATAATAAGTAAAGATCATGTTCCATGAAGATATTTTGTAAATTTCCTACTGTAAATATATTAAAACTTAATTTTTGATTAGTAATATGCATTGCTCAGAACTTCATTTGGACAACTTTAAAGGCGATTTTCTCAATATTTTGATTTGTTTGCACAATAGTTGTATCTCGGCCAACTATTGTCCTATCCTAACATCCTAGCTTATTTATTCAGCTTTCATATCATGTATAAATCTCAATTTCGAGAATTTGACCCTTAAGACTGGTTTTGTGGTCCAGGGTCACATATTACAGTATGTGTGACATTCAAACAATTAACAATGGTTTGTCTCACTGTATAATCCACAGTTTTGAACACATTCATTCTGGTGTGATTAAACTCAATACCACTGAGCACAATGGCCCCTGTGATTGCTGCGTTGTATGTCGGGTCTTGTCCCTTCCAAAGGCATTGCATTGGGTTTCTCATTTCTGGTTTTCCTGTGTCTTGTTGTTCTGTTTTTGAGTTATTTGTATTTAATTTATTACTTTAATAAACTACTTTCGTTACAGTTCATGAGTACAGTTCAACTTCGCTATATTCATTTTTCACTGAAAGTGCAAGCTTGCATTTGAATGTGCACTTTTTGCACTTGATTAGCTGGTTCAGGTGTGAAAAATCAGGATTGGAGGAGTGGCCCTCCAGAAACAATTTTGGACACCCCTGTTCTAAAGCAGAGGTGGAATGCCCAGGGGTCAGAAAGTAAGGCCCTGTCCACACGAACGCAGTTATTTTTAAAACCGCAGCTTTTTCTATGCGGTTAGGCCATTCGTCCACATGCAAATGCAGCACCAGTTCACTGAAACCGAACATTTTTGAAAACGCCTGACAGGGTGAAGATTTTTAAAAACTCCGGTTGCAGTGTTGTCGTGTAGACAGCGAAACCGGAGTTTTTGGCTTGTGACGTCGGCACCTGCGCTGTTATCTCCGCCTACTGGAGACTTTTTCAGGCTTCTGATTGGCCAACATGGCTTTACGGTTGAGATTATATCGCCACCTGTTGGTTTGGCATGCTCTTGACAGTGATTCATAGCATGCGTTTGCGTTTTCATGTGGATGGAGATTTTTTTTAAAACGGAAGAAGGAAAAACTCCATTTATAAAAATACCCGTGTACGTGCGGACATGGCCTAAAAGTCCTGCCATATGTTTATTCCACTCATGAACTCAGCCAGCTGATTTCACAAATTAATTCTACCTCCTGGCTGAAAAATTGTGCTAATTAGCAAATCCAGGTGCTTGGGGAATACAATTCTGAGGAGGACTTTTACTTTCTGAACCTGGACTTTCCACCTAACATCCACATGAATGCCAGCACCCAGGGTTTCCCAGCAGCACATTGACCAGAGCATAACACTGCCTTCTTCTCATAGTGCATCCTTCTGCCATCTCCTCAGGTAAACAACGCACATGCACCCAGCCATCCACCTTATCTAAAACAAAACTTGATTCATCAGACCTAGCAACCTTCTTCAATTGCTCAATGCCCAGTTTTGACACTCACATGCCCTTTCTACTATAGGTACTTTTGACAGTGGACAGGGATCATCATGGGAACTCTGACCAATGACCGGTCTGTGGCTATGCAGCCCCATATGCAGCAAACTGTGATGAACATCAGACCATATTAAAGGCTATTGCAAAACTGAAATGTCTAGGCTACTAAATGTAGGCCTGGTTCCCTGAGAGGGCATGAGATGCTGCATAATGATGAATTGGAAACAGGTCATTGGCCACAGGGTCTGAAGCCCTATAGAATTACCCTAATTAATTGACTGATAATGCTAAAGTGATGCCCATAATGAACACAAAGCACATGCTTGGCACCACTGCATCAGATTTTCTTCAATGTTCATGAACCAATGCAGAAACAGAGAGTATAGCCAGCCAAGCAGTGATGTTCCTGCAAAAAATCCATTGGAGGGCAAAACATGCCAGGAGAAAGAGCAGCCAAAGCTACATTCATAAGCCCCAACACCCCCCGGCATGTTCTGGCACACCCAGGAAATACGTGTTGAAACAGACCCAGAATACACATCCACAAGTACATTTACAGTCACGCTCGAGGATCATTTCTCTGAGCTGTGCTGCCAAATTCTCTAAAGCCCTATTCGCACGGAATTAGTATTATCTGGGAACTTTGTGTGATTTTGAAATTACCCTCCCCCATCTGAATTTCGTGTGGTGCATTCGCACGGGATAAGCGAAGCCTGTGATTTCACTCGAATTTACTGACTTATCTCCCGGATACGATGTCAAGGCTTTGAGAGTCCCGTTCTATGGTCCGGTTATATGGATTAAAAAAAAGAAACTATATACGGTATACGACACGCCAAATGCTGGCCAAATCACAGAGATGCCGATTCGCACGGGACTAATATTATCACAGGACTTTGGTGTTCAGCGAAATATGGTTGGTCATTTGCGGGGGAATTTTTACTTTACAAATTACAGACATGGTCGATTCGCACTGGATTACGATCACAGACAACCTCCGCAATTATTACAAATGACTGGAGGTCACCAGGTAATACTAATCCCGTGCGAATAGGGCATAAGAGGTTTAATGCCAGTTGCTGAGATAATTCAGAATGCGAATGCCTCAAAGCCTTAAAGGCATCTGAGCTGCATCTATTCATTTTGTAAATTGCAAGGCATAGTCGATATAAAAAAACTGGATGACAAGTAATTTCTTACTGCTAAATTCTGAAAAAACAGAAGTGTTAATTATCGGAACAAAAACCTCCGCATGTAATAACCTAGAACACTGTCATAAACCCTATTCGCACGGGATTAGTATTATCTGGGGACCTTGTGTGATTTTGAAATTACCCCCCCACATCTGAATTTCGTGTGGTGCATTCGCACGGGATAAGCGAAGCCTGTGATTTTACTCGAATTTACTGACT